TTAGAGTTTAGGGTTTAGAGTGTTTTGACATCTGACTCGTGTACAGGATCTGATTTTGTGTCCCCAGGCCACGTAAATTTACAGGTGTAAGACCTCTTTAACTTAATATCCCAAAGCTTCTCTCACCCACCCATGACGTTGTCTCAAGTCCTAGTAGCACCTGAAATAACCCCTATACTACTCCCTGATATAATCCCCTACATAATCTCCTTTTGAAGAAGTTTAGATTTGGCTCATAGAAGGATTATAGAAGCTACTTCCTTTTGCCATGGTCCTAGACAAGAGTTTCGGAGACCCTTGCTTGCTTTCAGCGGCGTGACTTCGTGACAGAAAAAAGATATAACCCTTTATATAACCCCTAATATAACTCCAATATAACTTCTAATATAACCCCAATATTACCCCTAATATAACCCTAATATAACCCCTATTATATAACCTGTGTTCAGGTGAGGCAGAAGGAGAAACTCTGCATGGATGCCTTCCACATTCCGGGAGTCGTGCCTGCATGTTACTCCTGCAGAGCGTGGGGAATTTGGGGGATCTTCCTAAGATGGAGCTATAATTTAAACTCCGAATATCCCCCTCAATAACCCTTTTCGTAGTTCCCTATAAAATCCCCCTTGAGGAGTTTAAACTATAGTTCAGATGGAGCTACATGGTTCGGGGATACATTCAGAAGATGCGGGCTGAGAAGCAGTCCTCAGCATTAAATACAGTTGCGACAAGACGGCGCCCGCGTGAATCCTAAACTCAGCCTAAACCCAAAAGTTCAAATTCAGGAGAATCCTTGCGCTTATATAGGTCTCCGACCCATCTAAGCCCAAACCCTGAGCATAAGCTGCCTTAAAACCCATCTAAGCCCCACAGCCTCAACGCTCTGTCGTACAGATTCTCGAGCGACTTAAGTGGGCGAACGACACCCTGGATCATGCCAAGCGCTCGGACGAACTGCGATTGGGAGACTGTGGCAAAAATCTTGGTCCCCCAAAAGTGTTCCAACATTCACTGTTGCATTTCACTCCGTGTTCCTGGCCCATAGTTTTCTACGGGAACATTGTTGACTTGGTAGCACTTTTGCCATTTTGCATCTCAAGCATTTGTTGGTTCCCAAAAGAGCATCCAAGAGGTTCCATTTGCTTTAACATGTGCGCAGTGCACAGGTAGTCAAGCGGCTTTCGTAAGCATAGTGGTCTCCCTGAACCCCAAACCCTAAACCCTAACCTTGGGACATGACCAACTACATCAATTGCAAAAACATGAGGTCCAAAAGCAATTGGAAGCTTACCTGGAGACGAAGCGGGCAGCATTTCCCAGGCGCGGCGTGATTATGGCTAGCAGGAGAAGGTATTGGGGAATATATGGCAAGGGTGTATGGACCCATGGAGGTAAACCCTAAAGAGGTTCAGGGTTCATGGTTTTGGCCTGAATTCGGCTGAAAAAGCTTCTTTGTGGTGAACGTTGGGTCGGTGGTGCACCCTTCACAGCCCTATGCCAGGTCTAGGTGTTTGTACTTTGGGCATCGCAGTCTGGAATGCACCCCTTTAACCCTAAGATGCCCCAAGCTGCAGCCCTTGAGGTTTTACTTCCTCTCTAATGACGAGCTGCTCAGCATCCTTTCGCAGACGCCGGGGGCTCATCCTGGTAGTCTGACCGAAATAAGTGTTGAAGCTTTCCATCCCAGTATGTTTACCAGGATTTACTGCAAACCTACCAGCAGTTAGGACAGGTATACCTTGCAGTAATAGTATTTGCAGTCAAAGCCGGCATGACCGTACCAGGGGCTTGACCCGAGCTGCACTGCTGAAGGCGAAACCCCCACGCGGTGCAGGAGCACATGTGCAACCCCGGCAGATTTTGCTGCATACGCGTGAGATTAGTTGAGTTAATCATGAACTTTCTTTCGAACATGATTGATTAGCAGCACTGCTAAGCACCCTAGAAAAGATAAACATTGAGAGCTTCACACTTTGCCTTTGCGCTGTGAAAATGCTGTTGCATGAAGGCAAATGTTTTGATTCCATCAATCGCGTGGTGTTCTCTGAGGCCTGGTTGCTTTGCTGCTCAACTCATTCCTCTTTTTGGCCCGCAATCATGTCTACTCATAGCAGCACATATGTGTTTAGGAGAATTCCGTGGATGTGCTGTCAATGCTACCAAGCAAGGTATCGTCTTCATCTAGGTTCACGTGGCCATTTCTGGAAGTAAAGCTGCCCCAGGTCTGACATCAGGACAATAGGGTTCCCACAGGTGGAGGGGTATCCCAGAGGACAGGAATTTTGAGAGTTCTGCATGTATCTGCCCTGGACAGACGGCTCCGGGAGAGATTCTGGGCATGAGTGACATGATCAAGGAATATGCCTGGGGCCTTGGCTTGCAGGCCTTGTCGCCTCATGTTGATGCATGTTGTTACAGCTGCTTCGGGAGTACTGGATAGGTCACACAATTTGGACAAACCGCGACTTAGGTCCCTTTTGTTCAGCCGGTGGTGACTGGGCCCATTGTCGAGAAATGGCTCAGCGATATCGAGGCAGGATCAATATTGCAGGGTTTAGGTCTTAGGGTGTTTCTGCGCTGCTTTGTAGGCAGTGAGGTTATCAAGGAGTCTTTTTTCGGGGTAATCGGATACGGATCGAGCAACATCTGACAATATGGATCATGTTGCGATGGATACAGTGTTTGACAGCCTACCTTCCAATCATTGGTTTTGGAGCGGCTCATACAAATGCACACCAAACTTATGGTGTCTCTGCTTCAAGGTCCCCACAAGAAAAAGCACTAGACAACTTGTAACATGTGACACCTCTGTCTAAGACTTGTCAAACCTTCTAAATGCTAGAAGAGATGTGTAACCACTGAAGGTTGGTCAGGTATGTGTGTTACCCCACAACATGAAACCCACCTAGAGGTCACACATACTAACTTCTGCGAAGCTGAACTTCATTCTGCTTCCTAGAGATCGATTCCAAAGTGTCTTGAAGTTCTCAATTTTTGGGAGAGCCGGCCAGAAACCTGTGAAACCGCTGTGCAGCACAACACCAGGTAGCCATGGTCGGCGGTCTGTACGATGCCAGCAAGAAGGGAATGCTGGCATACCCAGAGGAGACCTTAGTGCCTGCATGGGTGGGGAGTTTAGGGTTTAGGGTAGGCTTGCATGGGCCAGGCGTTTCCAGGCTTTTGTAAGGTGTTCCTCGGTTCATGGTGTCAGGTTTTGGATGTCAATGGTTCGGATGCAGTCCAACCAGATTGCTCTTGCCGGGCTGTTCTTGATTGGAAGGCGATAACACACTCGCCAACAGTGAGAACGTCATTGTACGCCCGAACATCCTGAGAACGGTGGCGCACTCCCGAATGTCCAACGATAACCAGCCAAACACGACAACTTACAATGTACACCATCTTGGTATTGGAATACATGCTTCAAACTTGCCGATTTACACACTCCTGCCGGATTGGCTTCCAGGATTTACAGCATGTCATTCTTCACTTGTGTAGTTTTAGATGTATGAACCGGCAACTCATGCTGTTGTAAGATTTGCTTGTCGGACAGGATGGCACAAACCGAACCGAATGGCTGCTGGAGGGCCCGCAGGGCCCCAAGTATTCAGTCAGAGGCACGGGGTCCCTGCCATTCTAATGCATAACAGAATGACAAAATGAGGGTAACCTAGAGGGTAGTGTTGGGTGTGGCAAGAGAACCCATGAAATCTAGAGACAGATGATGAACATGTTTTCTTCTTGCTTGTTTGTACTGGAACGTCTCCCTGGACTCAGAAGATTATGGTTACATGCTGGCCGTCTGGCTTTGGGTCTGCAATGTCTTTCTGGCTTAGGTATTCGGCACAGAGCAAGATCTTGGTAGACCAGCAGTTCTGGACCCTTGAGACAGAGAAGGCGCCCGCAGTGAACATGAAAGGGCTAGGGATTTGCTGTGACGCGGCCACAACAGTAGGATCCTTAATTTTAGCGTTATAATGTTATCCCCCCTGCGACTTTCAAACGGACCGGACCAATCTTTATACAAAGGTCCAAAAAGGAGTACAGAATGAACAACTCTTTGGGGCCAGAGCTCTTCTCCCTCGGCGGTAGAAGTAGGTGTAGGAGAGTGGGTGTGAATAGGAGAAGGACCTTTAGGTTTTTAATTGGCCTTTCAGGGTGGGCCATGATTTTTAAGGATGCGCTTGGCCCAATTTTTGTCGTTGTCATCCCGACCGTTACCCGAAGATCTCGAACTCACAAATTCCACTTCCGGGCCCGGAGGATTCCATTATGGTTACTGGCTTGGTAAATGCAATGCTAAAATTCATCAAGGCATTCTCAACAAAAGGTGCCGCTTGGGTTGAGCCCGCACTTGGATGAGATGACTGACCCCCTCCTGACAAAATGGATAGTTGCGCAAAGGCTTGTGTTTGTTTGGGGTTTTTAAAGGAAGTTCCCAGCACAATGCTAGTACTGCTACTGCTGTGACCACTTCTTTGCTCCTGCTACTTCGTAAGCATGTTGACATTCACACAACTGGCTCCGATGATCATCCTCTGTGAGCAGCAGCGTTCATCTCTCGGCGAAATCCGGGTGATTGCCGGCTAGCAGGAACTTTTCCGATACGGGTACACGCCTCTCAGTTCTGGGAAAAGAATCAATTTGCAACGGTCCTCATGGTCAGGCTGGTTGTTGAGCATTTCGCGATGAGAGGGAACCTGTGCAATCTAAAGCCGCATGCAAGTGAAGATAGCTCGGCCAGGCCCTGTCCAAGATTGCTGCCGGTGATGCTTGAATCCCAGATTCATGAACCTTTTCAGGTTGTCTGATCAGATGGCTAGACAGCTTTGGCTTGTAGATCATGCGGTGAACGTTTGGAGGCCAATGGCATGAAAGACAACATCGAGTTCCACAACCAGCAGCTGAAGAACAGCGTTAGCATCGTCGGCCCCCTGGAACAGTCCTGAAGCCGCACCGTTGCTTCTCGCTTGATGGCCCATTCTACGATCATGTCGTGCTCAGGTTCGAATGCAACTCACAAAGAACCAGCGCGCCAAATTCTCAGGGTGCATCTGCAACTAGCTGTAAGCCAGTTGGAGAACTGAACCATGCTGTGCAAACTGAGGTTTTGATGGGAGCTCTGATTGTGCTGGACGCGCCTTGGACGTGTTGTCGCTTTCTATTCTGCTCATTTTATTTCACTGGCAAAGGGATAGCTCACTGTTCATGATTTATTCATGTTCCTCCCTATGTTGAGGTCCTAATTAACTCAAGCCAAGTTGGTGAGCTTTGAAAACATCAGTCTCCGCTTGTTTCCCTGGGGTCCCAGAAGATTGTCCGGGTCATGTTCTACTTGTCTTTGTGTCGGTCACTAGATGATGCTGGTGTTACCACTCTTTTGGACTTGTTACATCTGTTACGCTCAGGGCAAGGAAGAGATGGAGGGCCTTTGCAGAGCTTCTTGGGCCAATTGCTGAAACACAAACCTTAAGTCTAGGTGCACGGCATCACAGTGCTGGAGAACCTCCACGATGCAGGGACGAGCAGTCTGAATGCGAATGCCTCAGCATCAGTTTGGATTTGTGCACATCGTTGTGGATGAATGTGAATTTCGCCATGCCGCAGGACTTTGATTGGAGCAAGCAGCTCCGATACTATTGGGTTCCAGAATCTGAGGAGGCCAGGCAAGTGGGAGTTTCTCAAAATCATCCTTATAGAATCCCGAGCAGGCACCACATGGTCCCCTCATATTGCGTAAGGGTCCCCTGAAGTACGACTGTTTTGACCAAACCCCATCTTATGAGCGTGGCGCGACATTCCTGCTTCAAAATGGCTACATACCATAATCCTTACTCGATTTAACAGTGCATAATGTCATTGCTTGAAGCTTAAGAGAAACAAGCCAATCGGTTGCATCAGATTGGCATCATGTTGCTGCTACTCCCATTCCTATTCTTCTCTTCACTTCTCAGTTCTCCCATATCAGTCTTGTATCCATGACTTCCCCCATGTTACTCCTGTCGGTTCGATCTTGACTACCAGAGCTGCGGTGACTGTTGCTGTCACGATGATCGCTGGCATGAAGCAGTATCAAAAAACGTGGAAACATTCATAATACGGATAACAGTTGTATTAGTAATAGTAGTGGTAAGAAGAGCACTAGTGACAGTTACAATAGTAACAATAGTAATAGTAGGAAAAATAGTAAGAATAGCGACCATAGTAACAGTAGTAATTAATGTGATATTAGAAGTAATAGTAATCACAGTAATAAGAGCAATAAGTAATGGTAATAAGTGTAAGGATTGCAAGAACAGCAGTAATAGTAATAATAGCAGTAATGGTAATGGTAATAGTAATAGTAATAGTGATAGTAATAGTAATAGTGATAGTAATAGTGATAGTAATAGTGATAGTAATAGTAATAGTAATAGTGATAGTGATCGTGATAGTAATAGTAATAGTGATAGTAATAGTAATAGTAATCATAGTAAGTAAATTCATGCGGGCTGTGGCAGGTGGAAACTTCTTTGATCACCATGGTATCGGATGACTGCGTGCGAGCTCTCAGCATGTTGAAGTTTGTTCCAGAGACTGGCCTGTCGGGCTTATTGTGCACTGCCCCCCACCCAGTCATAATAGGACTAATGTTATGCTGTTTATGCATATTCATATTTCAGTTTACTATCCCACTGTTACGGGATGAGGGCACTACCCAAGACCTTGTGTTGATGCCCTACTTGTCCAGCACATTTTGGGACCCCCGTGAGTGTGGCAAAGGGAGAGCACTGTATGATCTATGCCGTGCTTGTGATCCCACACAGTGTCATGATCATTTCTCAAAGAAGCCAATCAGGGTCGAATCCATCCTACCTCCTGTTTCTAACTGCTCACGGATACATCCCTGCACAACCAGTGCAACACAAATTTGTCGCACATGCAGTGCTTCTCAGGATGACGAGGCTGCAACTACTTGCCCAATGATGGAAAGTGGAACGCAGACAAGCAGAACACAGGGTGCAACAATCTTTCGACAGCAAGCAGAGTTTAACACAGACACGGTTTTGTAAGAGAATGCCTCGCAACTAGGAAGACAGAAAGTAGAGTTGCAGCATGCTTTATCATCCCCCCGTTGATGTGAGAGCTTCGCCCTGACACTAGGTCTGCCGCCAAACCATTGCTTGCTTCAAGTACTCTTACGAGTATTTGGGGAACACACCCCGGTTGGCCGGGGGCTCACTGACTCTGTCCAGCAGCTAGCAGCCCCGTGCTGTACGTCTTCCAGTCTTCAGATTATTGTGCTAAATGTTATCAGTCGTTCTTGAACATCATTTTAGACTGCGATTCTGAATGAAGCAGGTCGTCACGCCACTAACGGACAAGTGCTACATGACTTTGACAGGACTGCGCTTCATTGAAGAAAGCTGAACATGTGAAGCAACGTATATTGGATGAACTCTTGGGTGATTGTAAGTTTTACTAAAATGTGTAGAAGTGGTACCAGCAATCACATCTCAATGCCTGTAAGAGCCGAATGCAAACCGCATAGTAATCAGGTCGAACGTTGCCCCTTTCATTTTTTCATCGCTGTCTAATTGTCTCACGCTGTGGGGTTGTTAGTTTTTGCCAGGGCCAACAACTCTTCAACACACAATCCCTGGACCTTCCAACTCTGTAGCCCAAGCTCTAAGACTGTGCACCCTAAACTTCATCTCAAGGCCTTGATTATCACAAATTGGAAGCCTAAGCCGGAGTTTGTTAGAAGTACGGACCCCTCACGCGGGTCCTTAACCAATTTTAGGGACCCTTCATAGCACCGAGGGTATACATCAAGTAAATAAGCTACCGTCCACATTAGACTTACCAAGGGACCATGTAGGGTGGACATAGGGGTCCCTGTGCTAGTTTGGTGTAGCTCCTAATCGACTCTCTAATTCCCACCATGTCCATTAACTATATGGGAAATATTGACCGTAGCCCATATGACCAAACTGGGGCCCGTACAATTGCCCTAATCCTTACAACGCACCATATGATCCGAGTTTTCCATTCCATTTCCATCTTATTTTTCATTTGATTCCCCACGATTGGGGTGATGTTTGGCCTTGGAAGGAGCCATGCACTTGAACTACGGTGGGGCTCCAGCAGGACCAGCCGGCACAGGCCAGGTCCCAGAAGTTTAGGGTTCAGATGCAAGGTTTAAGGTTGCGGCTGAGGGAGTTAAGGTTTAGGTTCAATGGATATCAATTTTCGGGTTCAATGGTTTCGGATTTGTGAAGGATGTCAGGGTTTAGGAGGTTGGGGTACAGTGCCATTGGTTTTGAGTCGAAGATTTAGGTTTGGGTTTGGGTTGAGAGTTTCAGGGCTGTAAGTTCGAAAGTTTGCCAGCCAGTTGAAAAGGTTGGGAGTTAGGATGCTGTGTTCTTGGCAGGCAAAACAGAAACGACGAAGGACTTGGGCAAAGCCTTGGCTGTGCCAGTGGTTGTCTTCAACTGTGGCAGCCTCACGTCAGGAAGCTGTTAAGCTTGACCAGATACCCATAGAAACCACGAATTCTGAGGCTCTGATGGCCTGGACTACAAGATCATGGGCCGTTTCTTTTCAGGCCTTGCCCAGGCTGGCGCATGGGCCTGCTTCGATGAGTGCAGCTGGCATGTGTTCTCAGAGTGCGGTCTGTTTTTATTAACCTGGATATGTCTCGGGGTAAGTCATCATATTACTGTGTCCAGGGTCCCCAGGATACCAGCTCTCTGTCACCACTTTTTGGTTGCGGTTCAAAACGCGGGAGTGGCAGAACATGGAGGATGTTTTTGTGTTTCGTGACTTTGATAGCGAGGTGGTGGGCTGGTTTTCTGAGCCAGGTTCAACCGGATTCAGGTCGAAGTCCTGAGTGTGATTGCACAGCAGATGCTGACCGTCACGCAGGCAGGGATGCTTAAGGCTTGTTTACCCGTTGGGGTAGTATTAGGGTTATATTGGGGCTATATAGGGATAAGGGAAAGAAAATGGAAACTACCATTTAGGGTTTAGGGCTGGAGGCTCCGGTTTCTCTTGTTCTGCTCATGGAAGGGCCCTTGCAAGACATGCTGGTGGCTTGGCCCAGGCCATTCGACAGCGGAAAGAAGTCTTTGAATTTCTTGGCAACGAGATCCCGCTGAATCGACGATTCGGGGCCATGTCCTCATGAGCTCCTTGTGCAACGACCGTACCAAGCTTCTTGCGATTTCCTGATTGCCTATTGTAGGTGTACATCACCATGAACCCCGGATATGCTGGCCGTGCTGAGCTTCCTGACAACTTGAAAGCGCTCTTCCGTCCTGTGGCCCAAGTCCCGGCATTCGGCATGTCGTGCAGCTTTTCATTCTTTCGGGATAGAGAATGCCAGAAAAAACTCAGAGGTGGCAGGTGCCGTGGAGCTCTCTTGTGGTGACATGACTTGTCACAGTTCAAGCCCGGCAGAGTTCCTTTGCTCCCTGAGGGTCCACAGGCCACAAGGGGACATAGCAGTGATCTTGTTTCGAGTGCTGAGGCCATGATGGTGCCAGACTATGGGCTGATTGCGCTGGGCTTACCTCCTTAGAGCTACAGGGCCTTGCTTCCTACATGGGAGTTTCTCAAAAAAGGGTACCCTAGGGACCCCAGAAAATATGTAGGGATTATATAGAAATTATGGGGGTCCTTAGGGATTATATAGGGATTATTTTGAGAAACTCCTACATGTTATGTCCACATGTGGCTTGTGTAAGGCAGAGATCATTCTGTATTCAGAGGGCTTCAACGCAGCCAAGATGCTTGTGGGTGACCCAGCATGCTTTTGCATGCAAGCTCCGAGCGAGTCAGCTTTTATCCGCCAGGACAACAGAGATCCGGAATCCCAGTGAAAAATGAGAGTATCCTTTCGTTTCTTATGAACATGTATCTTACTGTATTAGTTTTTACCACCTCAAGTTTGCTGCTCAAGTCGAGAGTTTGTTAACATCTCCACTGTGAGGGCCTTTCAAGTGAGACAAATTATGAGAGTAAAGCGTAAAGCCAAAGCCTCAACCCTAAATCCTGAACACCTAAACCAATGTCAAAACCTAAAACCCTTTCCGCCAGAACCCTAAACCTACACTTGACCCTAGGCCTCACACCCTAAACCCCAAGTGAGATCCCTTAGAACGACAAGTGAGGCTCGAAAGATGGTAAACCTGTACCGATTGTCCTCTGAGCAGCTCTCCAAGCAGGATCACTACGACTTGCCCTCAGAGGTTCATTTGTTCTGGGTTTATTTACTAGGGGTTAGTATGGAATAAGGGAATATATGAGTTAAGTTATGGATTATATTCCCGCATTCCCTACTAACCCCCAATAAGTTGAGGAGCCTAGGGCTTGTAGGGTTTAAGGATTTGGGGTTAGCATCCACAGGATTCAACGCGGCCACTTCTCAGGAAAAGAAGGTTTTAGGAGTTGAGGGTGCTCGGGTTATAAAGGGAATGGACACAGATGTTGGGAATATTTGGGTTCACGGTATACGGGTCTAGGGCTAAAGGCCGAGGGCTTGGGCCTAGAGTGGAGGGTTTAGGGTGCAGGGGCTTGGTTTTGTGTCGGGCGTTGTGGGCAGAGCCAATTCGATTCCTTGTTTGTTCTTGAAGGGAGCTCAACGACCATCAATGAATATACGCTCAACTGTTTAAGGCTTTTATTTATTGCCTTCGACGGTATGTCGCCAGTTAACGTGCCATGGGCTCTGCGAGGATGCAAGGTATTAGCTGCTGCTTCCGATGTCTCAACGCTGTAGGGCAGCGAAGTCTAAGACAAGCCGCGGGCACCCAAAGGAGCAGACAGCGGCAAGAAACAGCAAACGACACAATCTTTCTGCTTTTCTCCAAAGCAGAATGGGCGGGGGAAATTAGGTTTCTTGCTTAACAGGGAAGATGCAGGCGATTTTGAAGCGTTGAAAGCAGCCTTTCACCAAGGACTTTGGCATGCGTGCTGCCTTGCTGGCTTGTTGAATCCACTCACAAGTCATGTTGGGAAAACACATGAAAACCACCCTTTGCAGATTCCATTCTGCCAGGTGAAGTCAGTCCTGGTGATGGCAGGGCACTTGAAGCGCTCATCGCTCAGCTATCATAGATCGTGGACCCCAAGGTACGCTAACCGCAAGTATAGGAACTCCCAAAAGGGGTCCCCCCGCACCATATGAGCTACATTCTAAACTCCTTAATGGGGGGTTAAACAGGGGATGTTATAGGGGACTACTATAGGGCTTATTAAGGGGGATACTAGGAGTTTAGACAATGGCTCACATGCAGCAGCGGTGTCCGACCTCTGGACGTGTCCATGACCTTCCTGTCATGCAAGGTCAGAATCCAGACCTGGAGGAGAATGTCACGCTGATTCGAGCACTGCGTGATTCCAACGCGCCCAAGCACCGGCCTCATTTGGGATTTCTGTGGGCTTTAGAATCCCTAGAAGGATTATTGTGAGTCGGCCATGGGGACCTAACTTTTCCTTCAGCCAACACCACCCTGGTGATGAAGTGGCGCTGACTAAGGTTTCTGTCGTTCGATCTGCCCCTCTTCAGTGGCATCATCTCAGATTTGTACCCAGACGCCCTGAACTCAGAGCAACTCTTTCAAGCTGGCAGATGGCCAGCTTGGTGTTCTTATATTTCGACAGCGACGAGTCCAATGATGGTCGGGAGCAAGATAACAAGTTTGGCCTGATGATTCTTTTTGAATTCCTGTAGGCCTGAGAATTCTTGTAGGGTCTTTGTTTTAGGAAGAACTGGATAGCCCACAGAATCATGGCTCAGGTGGTCATCCCCGATGTGGATTACGGGAAGCTCAAGACGGAAATCGAAAATCAGTTGCGCCTGGTCAACCTCCAGGCACCTCAAACCCTAACTCCTGAAACCTTTGCTACGTCTTCAGCATGGGTCTTGCAGGGGAACTCCTCAAATAAAAATCTGGGCCTACAGTACGCTGCCATGAATGGGCGAAACCCCCAAAAGGCCCCGAACCCGAAATGCTGCTTGCAGTCTTGCGATTGCTAGGTTGTTCCATCGTTCCTGACCAAGATTACACAACTCCTGGAGACCCAGCTTGTCAGGCAGATGACAACATGTGACAAGTTTTTGCTGGCTCCTGCTGCTGAGTTTTCCTGGTTCACCTGATGCTAGTAAGGCTTGATTGGGACACATTTTCATGATTATGCATGACACGGAGTGCTCCTGGTGCAGCATGTCTTGGAAGCTTTTCCTTGTTTGCAGCAGCCCAGCCCTTGTGTTCTGGTCCCAGGCATGGAGTGATGTTGGTCGGCTTGACAATGACGGGCAAATCGACAAACTCCAACATTTTGGCGAAGACGCTCACACAGCTGAAGAAGGCCCTGAGCATCTGTTTACCACTGGAAGAGCGCAAATACAGAGGACTTTCTCCCCCAAACCATGACGGCCACCAAACACCCCTCAAAATGAGACATTCCCCATAGTAGCCCAAATATGCTAGGGTGGTTGGTGAATACTGTGCCAGGATGGCTCGACGGATCCAGCTCATCAATTGACCAAGATTTTCTTCCTGAACCCCAAGAGCCTGACGCTAAGTGCTTTTGTTGCCAGCTTCTGATGCCAAGAGCTCTGGGTGAGTAAGGCGTGATCCTGAAATACACCCTGCTTTTGTAACAATGGATCCTTGCTGTAGAAGTGCTCTAGAACAGAGATGGGTATTTCTCAATATTATCCCTATACAATCCCTAACAAGGACCCCCATAATCCCCATATGATCCCTATATATCCCCTGGGGTCCCTAGGATACCCCCTTTTTGAGAAACCCCCAGATAGTTGGAATGAGCTGTGAGATCAGCAGGTATTACCATCGAGGAGCTCTACGGGTCCTTCAACGAAAACACGGGTGAGTGGAAGGCGGGTTCGCTAGAGTTTGGGGTTTGGGGTTAGGGTTTAGGCTTTAGGTAGCAGCTGGAAGTTCCTGAAAACAATTTTTCTGTTGTCTATGATCCTCCTAAACAGCGGAAATTCGCATTTCTACCAGGGGTCTAGGGAATTAAGGGGCAGAGGGTTGTACAAAAGGTAGCCAATTGAGGTTTGATGCGCCGGGCGTGCTGTGCAATTCTTTGTTCAACATAATTATTATCGATAATTATCATTAATGGTTATTGTAATCATAAGTGTTTATTGATATGAACGATTATTATGATAATAGCTTTTGCACATCGATGGTACACATTCTGGTGCCTTCTGACTGTTGGAAACCGTCAGGACTAAGTGGGGAGTCTTTTCAAGATAAGCTGAATGGTGATCTTTCTCTCTTTGCAACCTCTGCGCATCCCTGAAATCCCAAAGAACAGACACTTTTTGAGGAATGCCCATGTGACAGGATGGACTGGTGGCGATCCTGGTTCGTGAAGCTGTGAGCGACACTTCAGACAACAAGCCCCAACCTTACTTACCTTTGGATTTTGCAAAAGGGGTGCCTGAGGGGCCTTAAGGCCGTAAATCCTAAACCCTGGGAGCACCTGGGAGGCTAGGACCTCTAGGAGCTAGGCTTCATGCAGATTGAAGCCGACTGAGAGACATGAGACGTGGCACGCTGGTTCTCATGTGTGTTTGATTTTCAGGAAGTGGGTGAACTTCGATGGTCCTGTGGATGCAATCTGGATTGAGAACATGAACACGGTGTTGGATGACAACAAGAGCCTCGGCCGCATGACCTGGAGACATCGTCCCGAAATGTTGGGATGCAGAGGAAACATACATCAGAATGATTTGTGGTGTGTCTGGTGGTAATGGGAAGCTTGCCCGCCCGCTGCCCCTGCAGCTAGCACTGCTCCTGCGGCGAGTGCCACCAACCCTCCCAGAATCAGCAATGGCACTGTCAGTACTAGAAATGCTTTCGTGGTAAAGAATGGAGGACCGCCTCCTTGACTGCTGAATCAGTTTTCTCACGTGCCGCTCAGGATGTTGTGCCTCTCCAACGGAGAGCGCATCAAGCTTCCTCCTAGTATGACCGTCATGTTCGAGGCTCGTGCTGCGAGCATCGGTAGCTGGCTGCATGGTCCTTTCTGGCGGGACTGATATAAAGGATGCTTGTATTTGCGGGTTATTTGAAAGGAGAATCTTGCTCAGAGATGCGGCGATATCGGTGATTCTTGACCCATGATGCTCTTTTCGAAGGCCATCGTGAACATGTTTTCTGTCATCATCCTACTTTTCTTCTTTTTCTTCTTCTACTTCTTCTAAAACGCTTTTTCAACTCATGCCTTCGCAGCCCTGGTCCAAGAAACCCCTGGCGCAGGGCCTGCAGTGCGTGTAGCCTTCACCACTGTGGATGATCCTTATTCGATACTGAAGAGGGAGTTTCTCATTTTGAGAGCCCCAAAAAACCCAAAAAACCATATTACATCAGAGTCCACATATCCCTAAATCCTATAAACCTACAATCCCAGACCTGGTATCTCTGAGCCCTGCACCCCATATCTCCCTACAATTCCCGCATCCCTAGCCTTAGACCCTCTCATTTTGAGAAACTCCCAAGAAGCTCCATTCGATACTGAAGAAGCCTGGCTCCTTCAGCGCTGAAGGCGCATGAAGCCCCGAACCTTCTGTCTCTTCCTGGTCTCTAGTTTGGGTTTAAGATTTTGGTTTTGGGGTTTGGGGCATTCAAGTTTAGGGTTAAAGACCCTCAGAATGCACAACCCCAATCTGTTCCCCTTCCGTTAAAACGCCAAACCCCAAACCTTCAGCCTTTACCACAAAACGGCAAAAACCCATACTTGATTAAATTCCTACAAATTCTGATAATAAACGGACTCTCTACCTTCTGAACATATCAGGTCTTTTTGCTGCAGCTACATGCGGCCTCCTCGCTGAAATCCACAGACCTCCTCAAGCGCTGGCTGCCCATGTTGCCCAATTCCCTGCACCTGGGGTTATTGTTTTGGGATTTGGGCATGAGGTTTAACAGTCAAGGGCTATTGGGGCTTTTAGGGGTTTTAGGTGTAGATCCTGGATTTCAAGATTTAGGCGTGTAGGGCTTCAGGGTTTACGCGTTCAGTGTTCTACAGTGTAGGCTTTGAGGGTTAGGGTTGATCTGAAGTGGGGATTTCTCCAAACAGCGATACCCAATTTCAGTTCCACACAAGTGCATGTTTCCGGGATGTAACTGCTTCATCCCAAGTCTTTCTAGACAAAGTTGTCTGGTTCTCGGTACAGGAGAAAATTAGTCGACATCTTTGGACATGGTTCTGCCTCTGGGTTCATATGAGAGACCTTCAGGAATGATGGGCTGCGACAGCCTTTGGAGCAGCGCGTCAAAGACTTTCAAAGAAGCCTCCAGCAGGATCCCGAGACGCTTCCTGCTGGATTGGCCGTGTCCTTTGGGAATCATACACACGGACACCGTAGCAAGACAGACTCCAAATCGTGGAGAGACCATCCAGATCCTGTAGGCATCTCCGCTGGTATTCTGGTCTTCTTCTATGCTGTGTATTGCCTGTACAAGTACCAGCGCGAGGCCAACCGCATCATCAGCCTGTTTGAGGCAAACACTCAGATCAAGGAGCTGTCCGAGAAAGTGGCGCGCGGAGAGCCACTTCCGAGCATTGTCGTCATCCGGGGTCATATCGGAGCAGACGGCAGCGATGTGTGCACAGTTTCTGCAGAAATCAATGGCTTGCGCGAGCGCATTGGCGAAATTGAGCAGCCGAAGAATGCCTGGATTGAGATTGCACGACAGGCGAAATCCGACCCTCAGCTCCGCGGGGTAGCGGATGCCGTGGTGCAGCGAACAGGTGTTCACGGGGATGATGTGTCCGAAGTGCCTGAGCCAGGTGATCCCCGTGGCAGGAACAGCCGAAAGGCCGAGGGCTCCTTGGTGGTTTCTGAGATGCTGGTGGCCAGGATCTGTGCCAAGCATCAAAGCGTACGGCGGGACAAGACCACCAAGAATGTTACCATTAAGCGGCCTAAAAGAAATGAGAGCTACAACTGCTTTCACGCAAGGCGAGTGGCTGATAGACTACACATCATCGACATGGACGGCAACCGTGCTGACATAGAGTTACCACCTGCGGATGCTGTGGGCCTTGCAGGTGTTTCAGATCCGCCACCTCTCTTCCTGCCAGTCAGTGATGTCTGGACCGAGTTTACACATTACCTTAGGACGGACGCTGGGCCCTTGTTCATAGTGAAATGCCTTTTCAAGGAAGACTAACATTGTTTCAATGGATCCCTGAACCCTGAAGCAATCAATCATGCCTAAATCCTGAACTCTGAACCAGCACAACCCGAAACCCCTCCAAAAATCCAAAACCAAGCACTCGTACCAATGGTCCAGGATGCAGCTTCAGGGCCCAGTGGTCGACGCCAACGGCTGGACGATCTTCCTCCCATGCGCCTGTCCGACCCGTATACTCTGCTCTCGGAGTTCATCTTCTTGGATGTCCAGTCCACAGGAGAGGAGTTCTCAAACGTGGTTTTGGGGTGTAGGTCTCTAAGCTTACTTAAAGGGCTATGTCGGCAATTTTGGTTTGGTCTCAGAGTTGTAGAAGTTCTTGGTCATGTCCATTCAACAGGTCTCAAGATTCCGCTTCTTCGTCTACTCGTATTTCGCCACATGGGTTATTCTCAAAGCTATGGGCCCCCTTCTGGTTCATGGAATATATTACCGCACCTAATATTTAGGGGTACTAAAATGGGACCCTAATTTTGGGAACTCCCCACATTTTGAGGAGACTTGGGAGGGCTTCCTGGAAATCCTCACGTGCTCGAAGAGATTGGCGAAGCCTTCCGTAGCGGCTCAACGCCCGCGAAGTTCTTGTGGGAGCCACGGGGGTTCCTGGGATATGAGCTAAACTAAAAGGGTTTAAGGTTTAGGGTGACCTATAGGGGACTATATAGGGTTTTGGGGGGGACCTATTGAGGGATATACTACAAATTTAGTTCAAGGCTCCTATGCCGGTGAATAACTATGTATGAGCCATAGCCTAAACTCCTTAAACAAGGGGGTTATATGGGGATTGTTTAAGAGGGATACTACGAGTTTAGACCGTTGCTCATATAACTGTTATGGACCATAATCCTCATCATCTATTCCCTGGCAAAGCCATAATAAAATCCAAATTTTACGGGTGCCCCTGAATCTCTCTCAGGTTCTATGATTCAGTCCGTGGGGGTGGCTACGATGATGTACCAGCCTATGCCGCTGCCGGGCTCCGCAAGACGGAGATGGTCACCGCACGAGAGTCTGGGTTGGTGTTAGGGACCTTAAATTTATATTTAAGATACTATAATTATTGGGGAAACCATGGTAATTAGTGTATATACCCAGTATGGCAACTTAACTTAAGTTCCTTAACAGCAACCCAGGAGTTGCTGGACAGGGCGCGGGAGGCCGCGAAGGAGAACTCGAGGCATACGCCACACTGTGCCCCCACCTTCAACCCTCCCGAGCTGGAGCAACGCAGAGACGAGGAGAACTGTTTCCGGTACACGGAGCTCGCTATTCCGCGAGGGATTCCAGTAACCATCCTGGCTAAGCCCATGATAGCAGCAGCTGGAACCGGCGAAGGTGCCGACTGCAACATCCGGTTGGTATCGCCACAGGATGATGAGGGTCCACCTCACGCGTCCTTGAAGAACTTGAAGGATCGATTTCGCTTCCGGATCCTTCGCGGCCATCAGGTGGAGAACCTGCTGCGACATCGGGAGCTGAACCCCACAGCCTACTACGGTTTGGCTTTGGTTGCTGTGGCCTTCATTGGTTGGGCTACCTCTGGATATCCCGGTCTTGGTAGCTAATTGCCATTTTACAGCTTCGCAGCATTGCACTTTGCTTGCGTAGAGAAAAGGAGCGTGCAAGCTTCCTTCTCGGTTTGAGTCAGCGTGCTTGCTTGGCCCCAGTCACTTCAGGTGCACAGCTTTGCTGTCCCTCTCACCTCCATAGCATCAGCTTTTGTTCTCGCTCTTTTTTCGTGCATCCGGCCTGTCTATGTATGTCAGCTAGGACTTTTGAGACCGCTTTGCAAAGTCAGAGGGAAACAGTCCAGCAAAAAGATTCACCCAAGGGATTTGCGGGAATAGGAAGGGATTCTGGGGTAATCTCCCATTTGAAGGTCAACGACTTGGCAGTTGCATCGCCAGCAACGGTCAGTGCGATCCCTAGAAACCGATCGTGAAGCCTTCAAATGGACGCTGTAGACATGTATGCACAGAACTCGATAAAGATACATTTCATTTGCAGGGACAAGTGTCCCCCTGCTAAAGGACTAGAAAGGGATCCGCATGGGCACTTTGTTACCTCTGAGGTCGCTGCGGCATGGTCTACCTTGAGCCTGTTCATCTGGGCCACCGGCCCAGAGGTAATCTGAAACCTCTCAGGTTGTTTCAGAACAGGGGAGCGACCCTGGGGATATGATGTAGGGGCCGGTAGGAAGATTGTAGGTGTTTGCCTCCAAGGTTTGATTCGGAGGTTTTGGGAAACTCGCTTCTTATTTGTGCGTGGGGCTGCTGCATAAACCCTGCATGTGAATTCAGGATGGAAGCCGCTTATCCAGACGTGGGTGGAAAAGCGGTTGCCCCAGCACAGGAGGATCACATATCGTGCAAGTTGATGACCAGAACATGGTATACCACTCATGTGGCACAATGCAAAAATCCAACAGCCAGGCGTAACTGGTCACCAGTCCAAAGCACAGAGTTGTGTGGTTGGGCTGTATGCTCAGGAAACCCGGACCTATAGATTTCCGAGGTTTGTGTTGTTACATGTGGAAGTTCCTGAATAAATATTTTTAAATCAATTTCTGTTATCCATAATCCTCAGAACCAGCTGAAATTTTAATCTCTACCGAGGGTCCGGGGAACTTAGGGACATGGGTAGTAGTTCCCAAAATTATGGTCTCATTTAGGTTTTGGTGCCTCCAAATATTCGGTGCAGTAATATAATCTACAACCAAAAGGCGTCTATTTTTGAGAGCAACCCACATGTTTGTCACGATGTGGGTGTGTCAAACCCATGGGGCTCTGCCGTGGCTCCGTGGAGCACTCTCCCATTCTGAGGATTTGTCCGGGTTCACTTGTATGGTGTGGGCATGTTTACACAACGATGGATCTGGCATCATCACCCAGTTGTCTGGCTATGCAGTAGTGCTATGGTGATAAGGCATGGTTATACAGTGTAACAGCAGTAGCATGGGCAGGAAGAGGAGCAGAAGAGAAGGACATACATTTCTTCTCTTCGGAATACCACCAGTCATAGTTTCTGTGACGGGCTTTGTCACCCCAGATTGCTTGTTTGAGGTTTCAAGCCAAGTTCCCGGACTATGCCAAAGATATCGGGAAATGGGCAACATCTGTGTGCGAAGAGGCTGGAAGCAAGTTTGTTTGCCAAGGGTCAGAGATTTTTTTTGGTGTTTGGGATTCTATGCTTGACTTGCCACTGGGCTTGCTATACCCTGCTGACCCAGGCCTCCCAAAACTCGACCATCAGTGCAAGCATTCCAGCATAGGTCATGTTCTGGGCACTGGCTTCAGCTTAACACAGGCCACTTCTCAGGTTCCAGGTAAGTATGTGGGGCTGCGAGAATCAGCAATCAACAGCAACCTGTGCAAAATCGTTCCCACAACTGTGACAAATCTTGTCGTTGAGTTTAATGCGTCAAAAAGAGGTGTGGGTGAGACTTTGCTTGCTGATGTAGCGTTTGCTTCCAGCACTTCCGAACGTCGCCGAGCACAGGCCAATGCACGTTGTAGGGTTTGGGGTTCAGGACCTGGGGGTTCTGTTACCTGGAGGTATTTGCTGTTGTCATCCCTGCTTGCTGTCCGTCTTCCTCAGTTGCTCATCCTTGCTAGGCTTGTTCTTAGTCTTCGCGTGCATGCCGTCAGCGTTGCCATTGCGCAGAGTAGCTTCATCTGCACCCTCCAGCCCTAAACTCTAAACCAAAAGATAGAAAGTGATAGAGAGACAGCTCGCATTGCTGGCAGGCCTTGCCCTACATCCGTGAGGAGTGCCAAGAGGCTCCTGGCATACCAAGCATGGACGCAAACATCGTGCAGGACGGGCGCATGAGTTCGGGGTTTGAAGCCTTGTGGTGGCATTTCCTTTTCAAGGGATGCTAAACAAGACCACTCTGCAGCCTGTCATAATCATTGCTGTAAATAGCACTGGCGCTTTGTAGTATACTTGCCAAGCTCTGCAAAGGCCTACTTGCGCATGTTGACCGCTTTCATCTCTGAGCCCCATCAGTTGGTGCCAGAAGGAGGCTTGCTGCTGAGGGAAAGAGTCTAGGTTGTGTGGGGTTTTGGAGTTTAAGAGCTTAGTGATGAGGGCCTTAAAGGTTTTTGGGATTGAGTGTTTTGGTATGGGCTGGATAAGTTGTGTTGCCAGAGTTGAAGAGCATAAGAAGAGCGGTTCTCTAAATCTCTGTCGCAGTGTTGCGTCTGCTTCGATTCTGACTGAGGTCATCTTAGTGGCACGAGTGGATCACCTTCTTTTGTTGGGTATATATATATATACACATTCATACATAGCATCCCTACTTGAGATAAAAGGTTTACCCATTTTGGACACAGAAACGCAGCAGCTAGGCCATTGGCTTGTGGTAGACAGCCAGATCCGCATCTTGACAATCTGTGATTATACAGTGCCTCCAAAGATGAGGATGTGTGATCCTACTGGTGACACGGCAATTCATGAGTAGATGGCCTTAGGAAGAGTTATGGAAGTTGTCATCACTTCGCCAAAGATCTTCCAGTCATCAGAGGGAGCCTGGTTCAGGTGACAGCAAGCCCTTGAAGGTTGATGAGGATGCCAAGAAGTTGGTTCGCATCTACACGGCGCTGGGCTCAGCTTCAAGTGGAGGTCCCTGAGCCTGCTCCAAACTGCCATTATCCTGGTAAGATTTGGGTAATTACCTGTAGAGAGCACTCCGTCGACTTGAGACATGCCCTGACTTTTCGTGCCCACAGACAAGGGAGAGAGTTCTGATGATGTTGTGTGAGGCCATGTCTGCCATTTGGTCTCTGGGAGCCAATCTTCATGAGAACTCGTCCGAGACTTAGTTCAATGCAGTTGCGAGCCACATGTCTGGAGGTGTTGGCAGCCCATGCTCCGTGGATTTCGGATTTCTTGATATTCTGGTATTTCATATTGCGTCTGACAGCTGCAAACGGGAAAATCTTCAGCAGCCTTCTAGCCCAACAGTTGAGCGTTTCTTGCAGGCCGTGACGATTGCTGCGGCTTAAGCGCCAGTACTGCATTTGCCAGCACTACGCTGCCACAACCGCCGCCAACGGAATATGATCACGACAAAAATCACTGCAATTTGAGTATGGACGAGTTTTGTGTTTTGATGTTTTTTAATTATTGGTTTTTGACTTCTTGGTTTCCTGGTTTGCTGGCTTCTTGGCTTCCTGGCTTTTCGGCTTCTTGGTTTCTCTGTCTTCTTGGCTTCTTCGGCTTCTTTGTTTCTCCGGCGTCTTGGCTTCTCGGCTTTGCGGTTTCTAGGCTTTTTAGCTTGCTCGTTTCTCGGCTTCTTTGCTTCTGGGCTTTCTGGCTTCTCCTGCTTCTTGGCTTTCTTCCTGGCTTCTTGGCTTCTCCCCTCACCCCCCCCCTGGCGTTTTTGAAGCCATCCACGCTTACAGTAAACAGATCATGTCACCCCTGTGTTTGCAGTAGGGGAAGTCTGTGCGGATCATTTTGTTTGCAAACGGGGGGAAGATGTGCACAGAAGCAAAAGATGCAGTTGTCAGTTTTCAGACAGGGGTACCGGGATGTCCTTCAGGCGAAGCAAGTTTGTGGCTCGGATTCGCCCTCGCCTCCAGCTATTCTGTCCAGAGGCAAGGAACACAGATTTGCTTCATGCGCGCCAGATAAGCTTCCACTAGAACGAGCTAGATCGCTTGTCTGTTCTTGGCCCATTTGTTCTTGATTTCCTTTACTTGCTCATCTGACTGGCTTTTGAGGGGACTGACCAGGCCTTCATGCATAAAGGGCCGTTGTTTTGTTTGTTTCCCAATGATGCAGGTTCCAGACAGCGGTGATCTCTATATGACGGATCCTGAGACATCCAGGGCTCATGGTGGAAGACATTTTTGCAGATTTCCATGCAAAACTGGCATTGCGGCTAGGTTGGCAGTGAATGACGATGACGCCAGAATCCATCCGCTAGCAGATATCGTTCCGAACTTCAACTTCAATCCGCAGGAGCTCGGGACCCAGCTGCCCTCTTCTTTTCTGGTGCCTGAAGTCCGCGGGAAACCTATCCAGGATTTTACCGATGTAGCAGCCCCTTATGTGATGGGTTCTTCACTGCAGTGGGCCCAAAAAAGGGACAGTGCTTTTGAGAAATCCCCACCGGATTCAGGCCATTCTTCAACATTTTGGTCAACACGCCGGAGACAGTGGGTCAACGCATGCTGGCAGGGACTTGCATTCCATCTGTGCTGCTTCTGGTTTTTTGTGTGAATTTCTAGACTGATCCCTCTATGCTATCTTAAGGGGGATAAAGGGATTTCCCAGAATCCTTTTCTGTTTCCTGTGTACCCCAGGGTCCGCACCCCTCCCCTTCTAAAATGATGAGCGCCTGCATTGTTTTCTGGGCTTTTCGCAAGGGCACTTATTTTTTGACATAGCCCCTTTGCCTTCGGTAAGTTTACTTGCTGCAAAGGTGTAGATCTTTCCTTGTCGTGCGCAGGTTGAGAACCTGATGATGGCTAACTTCAACGTGCTCTTTTCTGGGGAGACAGGCTGCGATGATTTTTTTTGGTCTGCCTCCGAATGCTAGAGCATCAAGATTCTACATGCGGTACTGTCCTTTGAGTCCTCGTATAAGGACTGCTCATGTAGCAATTGTTGGGGTTGCATGTTTCTTGTATCCAAGCCCGATCCCTAACTGGAGAATCTGCGATTTTCTCATGACAATTTCTGGTTAATATCTAAGAGAGACGCAAAGAATCCTTTTCGGTGTTCCCATGATCTCTCAGAGAATACTTATCTCCCCTATATAAACTCTACACAATCCCTAAATAATCCCTACCTACATTACCCCTGTGTACTCCCAAGATAACCCCTATATAATCCACACATAATTTTTACATCATGCCAAGCAGAGCTTGCTTGTGAGCAGGCGTTGGCAAGTCAGTTGTCATCCAGCAGTTCCTGAACACGGCCAGATCCTGTGTTCAGTTCTTGCAGATGCAGCGCACAGAATTGTGCCGCAAAGACAAGTTTTTCTCCAAAGTTGTGATCTTTAGTAAATATACCTATACAGCTATATATATATATACACATGCACATACCTATACCCTCAATCCTGTACAGGGACCCCAAAATCACCGTTTACCAAGGCTGGTGAGTTATTCTCAACCGCAAGCGCCAACTTCAGCGCTCAGACAAGCACTTCCAATGCCAAGATCCCAGACATGGAGGATGTTTCGGTTAGGGTTTAGGGGTTTAGGGTTTGGGGTTGGAAAAGGAAATGGAAACAACTATAGTATGTTAGGGTTATATGGGGATGATGGAAAACAAAATGGAAACTACTATTTAGGGTGTAGGGGTTCAGGGATTAGGGTTTAGGGGTTCGGGGTTAGGTTTTATGGGTTCAGGGGTCAAGGTTTAGGGCTTAAGGGGTTAGGGTTTAGGGTTTAGGGTTTAGGAGTGAGGGTTTAGGGTCTAGGGTGTAGGGCTTAGGGTTAAGGGGTTAGGGTCTAGGGTTAGGGGTAGAGGGATTCGAGGCGAGATTCTGAGGGGGTTCACGCTCAAGGATGCCATAGGGATTTTGGGCAAACTCCTGAGTCGACTTTGCACCTCTGAGGATAAAGGGAACAACTACAGAGGCCATAAGCCTTGACCTGTGGCTTTGGGCCTGGGTTGAATTGCCTCGTTTGCTTTCATTTGGGCTTCACTTTGATATGGACGCGAATCAAAAGACTGGGTTTGTGAGACATAGGCTTGCAACAAAGCTTCCTGGCTTGCGACAAGCACCTTTGCTGACAAGTTTTTCTTTCTTGCATGCCCGTACCAAGCATTGAGACAAAGGTATGTAAGAACAAGCCGTGAAAAGGGGTATGTTGGGTATGTAATCAGGGCTGGCGGGCGGCCGAGACCAAGCGCGTTTGAGATCCACCGCCACATAGTCTAGTATGGTGTCTCCTAGTGAACAGGGCATTGCAGGAAGCCCGCAAAGATAGTAGGTATACCACTCTGACGTGAACAGACCTATGACCACTAGGTCTTTAGATGTAAGAGAGTACCTGACAAGATTGCGATGATTTGCGTGCTTGGGCCATATTGCTGCTAGACATCTGCTATACTTTTGGGTTCTCGTGTGGGTTCTCAGAAAGTCTCCGTTGCCGAAGGTTGTGGACCAGTTTGAGAACCGGCTCGAGCGCAAGCGCAAGACGTTGTTGCTGGGTTGCTGTTGGAACCATTTTTTTTGCAGTCTGGACGAGGCTATGGGTCAGGCGGGCAGTACAGCAGCGTCATATTGGGATTAGATAGGAATTTTGTAGGGTAGGGTCTCAATGAGGAAAGGCCAACAAACAAAAAGAAGGACGAACCCAAATTTAAACACTAAGGTCCAAGCCCCTGAATCCTTAGCCCCCAGACTCCTGAAATCCTTCAAAGCTTACATCTTGAACGTTGAACCCTTAAACCCCAAAGACCTAGATCCCAAACACCAAAACCCTACCCAAAGTATGAACCAGGTTGGGGGCGCCTCCGGGCACCACGATGAACCTGCCTCAGTTTCGTTTTTCGTTCCCGTTGGTTTGGATGCTCATTTCCCCGGCATACCGCCATGTTATAGTGGGTCAGAAAGAAGTAGGGCCTGATCCTTTGATGGCATTCTGCTTCGAGGCTCATGCATGGCTACAAGTGAAGATATAGTGATTACGTAGTAGATAAGCAGTACGCCGCAAATGTGCGGGAGGGTTGCAGGATTCTGTCAGGGCTACAGGGTTTCAACAAGTATTAAGTAATACTTTACGCGTTGGGTATCTTCAGCAACGAGGTGCCGCGAATATTTGCTGACTGTTCTTGCACGAGCTTGCATGTTGAGGGGGCGTCCTCCCATGTTAAATGTGCCTTATTCATGAGTAATCAGCAGACGGGTCTAAGTACCTCATTCAAGCATGTGTTCAAAGCTATTCTACTGGAATTTTGCTCCCACAATTACTGCCGATGAACCTTCGAATGGCTTTTCAAAGTGCTCATCATTGCTCAGGATCTTTTTCGTCGACGATGTCAACATGCCTATGCTTGAGTCAGAAGCTGAGCATGACATCTAAGCCAGCGCAGATCCAGATCCAGTCATGCAGCCAATTGTCACATAGTAGTTTCTGCCCCAGGTTATTTCCATTGAAACCCAAATGGAAGCTATTATGCGAGCTCCTGCAAGGTTCTACGGGGCACAGCCGCCGATTGAATTGCTGCGACAGGCAGCCCCTTGAATGTCAGGGTTTGGGGTTCACCCAAATCCTATAATCTAAAACCATCCTAGTTAGTGCAGGTTGGCGCAACGCGCCTTTGCACAGCCTGTAAGACGAGAGGTGATCGACTATGGAGGCTTTTACGACAAGAAGAAGCTCTTCTGGTCGGCACCACAGTGACAGTTTCCTAAACAAAGGGTCTACGCGCGATTTTCCAAAATGGGGGGTTCCCTTTTGGTGGTGCCATAGTGTGGTCGTGGAAACTCAACTTAAAGCCCCACACCCTAACCCCCCCTGTGCGGCAAGCTTGCTTCAGGAAGCAGGTGGCAGACACTCAGTTCATCTGCGCCTGTGGACCACCTGGTGGAGGTCGTATGGCTGTGACGCCCAGGTCAGGTGCACAACGTGCCAGGGATTCAGGTGTCCTCTTATGCAATGTGTACAGGGAATAACTTAGAGGAGTTCGCAGGGGACGCTTTGGCGTGGAATCTGAAAGAAGATCCTCAAGACTTTTCCTTTTTTGGGGCTCGCCGACTTTTTTTGGACAACAACTTGCCTAGACCAACCATGCCGCTTGCTATGAGTGACATTCCAGATGCTCAACCCTAAATTGCACCCATTGGGGTAATATTGGGGTTATAATGGGATAATGGAAAACAGAATGGAAAGTACTAAGGTCTGTAGAAACGATTGCTTTGGAAAAGTGTGCAGCTATGGTGTGGTTTGTTACTCTGAGAGATCGAAGTCCGCATTTGAAATGCTACAGTTCCCGGGCACGTGGAATCTGGGACTGGAGCTAGCCAGTGTGGTGACATGGGGTAATCCTGTCTGCGGTGGCGACAGCAGTGCAATGAGATCTGTTGCTCGCGTAGCAAAGCATTTTGTCGCGGACGTCTGGCGGGTAGAGCTTTCAGCGTGCCGTAAATCGTGCAGGATGTACTGTTGTACAACCCCGCAGTGTGTTTGATGTGTTGTATCCTTGGCTGGAAGTTCCGTCCGCATTGCAAAACAAGTCACTTGCAGCTTATGAGAAAGCCCTGGCGTTTCTTGTTGACTTGGAGCTGAAGACTTGAAGCCCAAAAGCCTGTCCTTTCAGGCTGTTCCGCCATTTTAACATGATCTGGATTCCGGCAGGAGGCTCAGCTCACAGGCAATCAGGCGCTTAGAGTTTAGCGTTTTGGGTTTGTGCTTGGGGTGCTCGAAGCCAAGAGTTAGAAGATGCAATTTGCTTCTGTGCCTTCTGGCAAAGTTGGTGTACTGCACCCCCCTTCGTCTCTCCAATTTCTGTGCATCCGCAGTATGCAACACTTCCATGTCCGTGTGCCATCATATTCCGCTAAGCCTACATTTTTCTGATAATTATATCTTTCTTGCATTTTCTTGCGCTACCCAACATCTCTAGATGCTCCTTGCAAATTATCTAACCACTCCCGGCACATTATGGTCCTAGTCAGTAAATGTCTTGTCAAGCGGCAGGGTACCTACATATGTGCCCTTAACCATACCATATTGTTAGTGCATCTTCACAGCGATTGGCGTGCCCGGACCTGCTTAGTGAGGCGCTGTCACAAGATGCAATGCAGCGCATCCTCAGCAGCATCCTAGGCCAGACTTCCGGGGGTGACTTGCAGGTCTACGGGGAGCTCAAAGTGCTTATAGCAAGGTTTTCTAGTCTTACTGTAAAGCTCAGATTAGGGCAATTATAGCCACAGTTTCAACTGCACTTGGTAACCGGGTTTCCCTTACGTTTAACGATGCGGCTAGTCCAATAAGCAGACGACCTAACCTTGTGTTCCTCATGTTCTCAGCCCTGCCCTGTTCCTCTAAACATGGCTTCCAGCTATGTAGGTATCTGTACTTGGGCTGTCCAGCTTAGATCCCTTCGGTTCCTTTGGCAATGCATGCAGCGTCTGCAACCGCTACGTACCATGTCGCAGGGCAAGACTCCCCAGAGGTGGGTGACCGAATCCCCAATATTCCCTAGCTACCTTCCCCTCTTTGGACGCGACCCCCATGAAGCCAACCCTGAAAGCTTGGTAAGTCCAGCTTGCTTCTGCTTTTGGCTCCTGCGGTCTTTGCATGAAGCAGTACAGAACTCATGTCTGACGTCATTGCACGTGGCTTCAAGCTTCTCACGCATTGCACGGTCTATCAGCCCACGCTGTGTTGGCACTTCCAGAATAAGAGCTTCTAGCTTTTTGGGGCATTGGGCACGCACCGCACAACTGGTCTGAACAGGGGCCGGGTCCTGAGCTGTCGCATGTGCCTGTTGCAGTTCACATGTTTTGGGTTGGGCATCCAGTGCCGCTGTTGCTGAACGGCTGAGGAAGGGGTTGAAGATGAACGGCAGCAACGGACCCTGGTATCCTTCCAACCCAGGGAGCTACAGTGGAGGCAGCAGCGGGCTCAGACTGTCTCAAACTTCCTCCTGCAGTTGTTCTAGCACACCAATTTCCGCACAAGCTGGTCTTGTGTACTTGCAGATGGTGGATTTGGCGGCGACTTTGGCGGCGGAGGCTATGGTTATGGAAGCTACGGCAACGGCTTCGGTGATTCGTGGGATGGAGGAGGTGGAGGAGGTGCGTGCTTTGGACCTCTTGTTTTGCGGAACTTGCGTGCATAGTTCTTGCCTCGAGACGTGCCAGGCAAGGCCATGAAGGGCGACTCAGGCAAGGGTGGTGGCAAGCAGGCCCCAATGTGCATCTCTGCTGCATCTACAAAGCCCGAGTGAGTCATATCAGAATTGTCTTCAGAGAAGTGTTGAGCCCCAGAAAATCTGGCATCCAAGGCAAATTCTTCTTGGCGGGGAACTGCACGCGTGGTACATCATGCACATTTTCTCATGGCGATGGCAAGGCCTCTCTAAGGCGTTTGGTCTGTTTCAATGTAGGCAATAGCTTCTTTGGGGGATGCAGGGGGCAGCACAAAAATGAAGATTTTGGGACTGCTCGCATTTCATACTGGCATTTTCGGAATCATAGTTGCTCAGTACTGTGGTTCACGCTTTTGCATTGCAATTGTCCTTACGACTACAACCAGCACTAGCCTCATCTTGCAGGATTGGGGGGCGCAGAAGCTTGACAGCTGCAGCTTGGCTTGAACGTCGCAGCGTTTCACCAAGGAGTCGTTATAGAGGAGATCATGTGGCTGCCCTTGAGAGTTAGTAGTTTCTGTAAGCAGGGGACCCCAATATAGACCCCAGAATGCTGTAATCCTGATTTTTGGAGAGGCCCCAGTTTGTAACATCGCATGCTGGAGATTCATATTTCGCCACATCCCGAGGCAAGTACATCCCACAGTCACAGCAGTGGGGCTACGGAGGAGACAGCGTCCTCAGCCCAGCTTTGACAGGAGGTGTGCCAGATTTCTGCTACCTATACAGGGGTTATATAGGGATAATGGAAAAGAAATTGGAGACTACTGTAGTATAATAGGGTATATACTGGGATGTATATATATATATATGTATTTGTGTATATATATATAATTATGTATATATATATATGTGCATCCCAGTATTGGTTTCAGAATGTATGGAGAAGCCCATCAGTTTTGGAGTATGCGTGGGGAAGCCAATTCTGGCACATGAAGCTTTTCTGCTGAGCCAGCGCAGCTGTCAGCTTGTGTCACCCTAAACCCTCAACCCTAAGCCCTAAACCCTAAACCTTAAACCTTTCACCCTAAACC